AGAGTTCCAAATTTGATATGGATCCCTTGTGGAGGTACAACCAGAGTTCATATATCTCTGATTCTTTCAATCCTCCTTTGTCTCAAGGGGATTATAAATATAAACCTATTTGGCCATCTCTATAGATTTTTGAGGTTTTGTGCTTTTTTTCAAGCCAAAATTGATAGTTTCACAGGCAAAAAAACCCCAAAACCACAAAACAAAACAAAACAAAACAAAACCCAAACAAACAAACAAAAAAACCCATGAAATTTTAATTCAGAAAGCACAGAACATAATAATCTTCAAGCGCCATATCTTCTGATATTACTTAGAATAATCCAGAGAACAGCTGAAAAAATTTTGTTTTAACTAAAACTAAATAAAACTAGGGATAAGCAGTAATTGAGAAAGGAGGAGGAGGACTAGATGGAAACAGAGAGTGACAATAAATTGTCACTTTTGCTGTCACCATTGCTATACAAAATAAGAACCAGTGGTGTACTGCATTATCTCTGTCTTCAACTGTATCCTCTGATATGACCAGAGTTCTTCTTTTATGATAGGTATTGCATATCAGAAGTTAGAACTTGCTATTAATCTTGTGTGGAGAAAAGGGAACACATTCAAGACATTATTGTTAGTCAAATAAGATCTGAAGAGTCTGAAGGTGTAACCAAATTACCTACAATTTATTATTAGTGTACTTAAAATTATACAAACTCTTATAGGTAATAATACACTCAAGATTTCTACATACAAGCATCTGTAATTTAATCTTTTCCTCCAGTGTAAATTCACCCTTTAAATGTCTCTCTAGTTCTCAATGTAAGCAGATTCAAGGAAGGGTAGGATTTGAGCTACAGCAAGTTATCAACATCCCAAGTGGTTTGCTGGAAGAAATATGACAGAGATTTATTCTCCCTCACTGCAGGGTCCACGTATGGCTGATCACTGGCTTACAAGGCTGTACTATATTGATCAGTAACTGGCCACTGTGCATTGGGATTATGGTTTGGAGTCTCTGGTATCCTCCAGCATCTTTGCAGTCCCTCATCATGCTTTGTTCGAAGTTCATAAACAGCTTGTTCCCCACTGTCTAAATACTTGTTATTCTTATCCAGTAACTAGCAAGATATTACAACATGCAATTGCCCAATGTTTAAAAAAAATTCAGGCTGTAGTATCTTATCCCTGCACAGCTGTTGTCAAAAGAAAAATAGGAAGGACTGAGCTCCAAATAAACCAAACAAGTCCTGACACCCTGCTACCATAGAAAAGCCTTTTGCTAGCAATTAGAAGACTATATTTATTGGATTTAACTTGGCACATTCTACTGAATTTCAGCCTGAACTTCCACTGGTCCATATGATTCAGCTGGAGAAAATTCACTCTAGTTCCTGGGAAAGATAGATTGCAGATATGAGAAGCAGCTGTATCCAAAGATTGCAAGGGAATTAAAATACAGATAAAAAGTGAACAGCAAATTTCAAAAATAAGGGCAGTATGGGATATTTCTCTGTTGCAAGATAAGGACACCTCTCTTGATACTTACATAAAGAGGATCACATTCACTGTGATTTCCTTTTATGACTTTACTAATATTTCTGGAGTCATTAATATGACTCCAGAAATATTAGTAAAGTCATAAAAGGAATTTATTTGGCTTAAAGACTTGTCTCACAGAGATAATTTGGTGCTTGTCAGTCCTAGAATTCCACCACTCACAGACACTTGATAAAATTTCTATTCCATTATCTTTAACATGACAACTGTTCTTCCTCTGTGTCATGGCTAAAATCTTTTGCTGTGAGCACTCAAAGTCTAATTCTTCTTTCCTTGTGGAAAAATGCACATAATTTCTACATGTTACATTTTAGCTACTCCATAGAGATAAAAAAGGAAAAAAATTTACTTTACAATATTTACAGATCTTCCAAATTTATCATCTACAGTAATACAGAAGCCCACTCTAAATGGGACTCTAAAAGATGTAGACATTTCTGACTTCAACTCTCTCTTCTTTTCTCCACATCACAGAAACATAAGCAATTTCTCCAAAAAATTATCTCCAAATGCAAACTGACTTAATAAGAAAGAAATTATTTTTTCTCCTTTCTTGGGAAATGTCAGACTGCTGTCTGTCTGTTGGTATCAAAAATTTGATGCAGAATATCTTGAAACCATTTAAAAAGACTACCTAATTACAGAATTGTTTCCAATAGTTTAATATGGCCCTAGAAAATAAGATTAATGTTTAAAAAATTGAAGAAACCATTTTTAAAAAATGGATATATGCCAGGCAGATGACAATGAAATTTAAAAGAAATATTGTATTTTCATTTACTAGCCTTGTTGAAAGAGAAAAGAATACTAGTGTGTATCAAGACCTAAATGTCAAAAAGTCATCAATCAGTTGCAGAGAAATTACTAATTTTTGTGGTCTCCTTAATCCTTAGATGTTTGGACAGTGGAACAAAGACTTCAAAAGGAACAGCAGAAAAGTCGTTCCAGTAATTTGGCACAATGAGTGACTGAATCACTGGCCTGGACTGACTTTCCTGTGGCTCAAGGAATTTTCCAGATAACATTTTCTCTGAACACAGGTCTATGTGAGTGTTTCTGTCTGCTGTGCTCCAGTTCACAGGGTAAGGTCCTTTCATGTTAAAGGCACCATTGAGATGTTTTTGTCACATTTTAGGAAGGTGCCAGAGAGTCTGGGGAGTGCCTCTGTGGCAACATAACAGAATCCCTTTTAATCTGCAATACATTATATCCCTTCTTTGTTTTTTTAATTTTCTCTCCTGATGTCTTCACAGAACAAATAGTAGGAAAATGCCTAGGTTATTTTTCATGAACAGGCCAATTTTGATTTCATGGCAGATAATTATTTTATAGTATGCATGGTTTTTTCTCATCTTTAAAATATTATTACAAATAACTAAAAACCTAATGAACATTTATTGTTTTCTCCCAAATAGTGGATACTGCGGTTCAGAGCAAGATATTGTTCAAAACTGAAGTTTTCACAAATCATTGTATGTGTGTCTACAATATTTCTTGCTATGGTGAGAATTTACCAAAAGTCTATGGATAGAAAATGAAGATATTTGTTGAAAATAGAGTTATAAAATTACAGAATAAAATCTGCCTGTCAAATTGAAATTATTATTCTTTACATACATGCAATTTTTAAATACATGAGCACAAACCAGCATTTTTCCACATAGACTGAACCTCTAAATTTTCAGGATTTGATCATCAGTGCAAATCAGATCATCTGCATTGACCTCCAAGTTCAACAGCATTTTAAATGTATCCCAATATTTCTTCCACTGTCTAGGATGGTTTGAGTACAGCTTAGCATGGTTATACCTACATTAACTGGAAGAAGGGCTGAGATGGAATAGTTACCTGCTCCTTGAGAACCTCTGTCACAATAGGCATGTTTCCCAAATACCTTTTTTTTTCTTTTTTTGGTCATAGTAATTGCAGGATTTGGTCTGTTACATTTAATAAAATGCTGCCCTTTGAGCAGCAGTAATACAGAATATCTGGTTTTCATCTACATGGTAAGAAATAACCCTCCTACACAGCCCCACTGATTCCGTACAAAGGTAGCAGCCCTCCTGTATGTCACAACTTACATGCAATTTAAGAGTTTCAATGTGGCATAATCGGGCATTAAACTGTATGAACTGCTTAAACTGTCTGGCAGATAAAAGTTGTTCCCTTCTCATTCCCTGTACAAGTAGAAATATAGAGGCCTAGGTTAACATTAACTTGCAGATTAGGTTTTGCTTCTTGAAAATGAAAGAAAAAGGCTGATTTGCTTGCTCTGCAGTTAAAAAAAAAAAAAAAAACAAGCAAAAAAGCAGGTGGGAAGCCTTCATTAAATAAAGCCACTGCAATTAATTAATGATCAAAAAGGGCAGTGCTGCCAGCCAAGCTTTAAACATGTAATTTTCTAGTATGTGAATACACTCTAAGATCCTTCTTTTGTGAACCAGAAATTGAGTGCTTAGTAGTGACATGCATCATCCTCCCAGACAATAAGCAGCGTGTGGTTTCACAAGCTGGGGTCACACCAGCTTGTAGCAACCGGATGTCAATTATTTTCCTTGGAAACAATGACTACCTGCAACATTAAACTCCCATGCTTTTGTGGGGACACAGAATGCTACCTTGTAAAGGTGTCAGTGATACTGCCTATTGCTGCTGCAGATAACGTGTCTGTCTAATGAAGTAGGAACAATACTTCTTTTCATCTGCTGCACGTCTGTCTAACCTTCTCGCTTTGATCAGTGGTGTTGTGTGGGTGGAGGAGCCAGGATTAGTGAATCATTCCTGATTAATGGTGATATCATCAGCAGAAATGCTTTAGGCTTTAAAGCATTGGTTAGTGCTTGGTGCTGAGAGGAACAACATTACATAGGTAGGATCACAGGATGAAAATCTGACTCAACTAAGCCTGAGATGTATTGGTGTTTCTTAAAGATCTAAAATATGGAGATATTGTTTATGAGGTGAATCCAGTGGAGAAAAAAAAAGTTTAGAACCAGTTTTACATGTTTTTATATATATTTCTATCTCTGTATTCTAACGACAAGTATTTTAGCAGCCTAGCCCTACTTTTTCAAAAGCTTTTGTTCATGAGGAAGCTGAAATGTTTCTATTGTCTTCCTTAATTACTTCCACCATCAAAGACATTTTCTGCACACATCATTCTAGCTAATGAAACTTCTGGTGACTAAAACATTGAGACAAGTAACTGCTCTGGACCTTAGATAATCTGAATTCCCTTCTAATTTCAAAATTAAAATTATACAAATATTGAAATAAGAGTGGGAAGTAAACATCTAAATAGCCACTAATAAATTACTTAGCTTCTTATCTCTGATTTGATAGAAAACTATTAAGTATTGATAATGTATTCTCCAGGGTATTTTCCATGCTCAGACAATAAAATCTTTAGAATACTCTGTTACTTCCTTATCTTTACATATAGCACTAAGCTTTTGTAGGAGGGAGAAGGGAATCTCCCATCTCACCTAGTGTAATGCAACAAATGTGAAGAAGAAAGGGAACAAAAATGGAAAATTGTGCAAGGTAGGTTTGGTCTGCATGTTTTTTCAATTCCTACCCTTATAATCACAAGAGTTAGAGTGATGTAAAAAAAAGAAAGAAAAAAAAGAGGGGAGCAGAGAATCCACTTGATAAACTCAATACTGAGTCTTTCGTATAGTTTTCAGAGGAATTTTCAAAACAAACCAAACAAGATCTGAAATTTGTCTTGGAAAAGACAAGTGGTAAACAGATGTTAAAGATTACTTAAGTTTTGATAATCAGTGAATGACAACATAATTTGATGATCTGAAATTTGTCTTGGAAAAGACAAGTGGTAAACAGATGTTAAAGATTATTCAAGTTTTTATAATCAGTGAATGACAACATAATTTGTTTGTTGCTCTTTTGATAAGAGCAGGATTTCTGGACCATGCCTGTGTTCAATAAACACACACCTCTGTTTCTTTTTCTATTAATGAAAACAACCTGTAGGGAATAAAACTTTTCCATTGGTAATTAGGCTTGTTTTCATTAAAATTTATAATATATCAAAGCTTATAGATTAATGTTCTTTTATATTTTTGATCAGTTTTTTAATGGATTGTGCCTGTTTTTTCTCTCACTACTTTCAGAACTGCTACACTAAAGAATAGCTATTGCGGGCATTACTCTTTTGTAAATCTATTAATATTCCTCACCACCTATCTTTCTATGTTAATGTAATTTTCAGTAGGTTCATAATGTTGGAAATCCCAACATCTCCTAATCACTTACTATTGCCTTGAATTTACATATTTTTTGCAGATGAAATGGAGAGATGTGCTGCTGTGCATCAGGTGAATATAAATGCAGCAGGATTTTTAACAGAAAGTCCAGTGAGTTATTATGTGCTCTCTACATTGTTTTGAACAACATTTGCAAAGCCTTGATAAATGTAGAAGGAACAGCATTATTTATTCTAAAGAGCAGTCATACTACCTATAATATCATGAGAACACAGATTTCTTTAATTTCTGTTCAATATTATTCACACTTGAGAGGAGACTTTCCATTCTGTTTTAGGCTGCAGTTTAGGTAGATATTCTGCAAATATTTCCACTATCACAATATGATCACGGCAATGTTTACATAGTGGGCAATTAGAGTGAATTAAATTGGTGGTCTTTGCATCAATGGAGTTTGATTTGCAATGGTTTGGATGTATGGTCACAAAGATGTGAAACTTTTGCAAGCCTGTGAGACAACATTTGTTGAAAAGGAATCTAGATTTTGGTGCCTTAGCTGGTCTGTGTGCACATCAGCTATCCATGGAAGGAGGCTCTGGCAACATGAATGAGCAGCTGCTGAGCAGATGTAAACAGGATAAATAAAATTGTGAGAAAATCCTTTTTATTTACTATCAATATTTCAGTCCCAGGATAAGACCTGAATTTAGGGAATGATCCAAACCCTCCTGTCTAGACATCACGATTGATCATATTAAATCTTGCTTGAAGTAACTTAATAAATAAATAAATAAATAAATTGTGGACATAATATTTGAACCAATTTGATAAATTTTTATCTCAGTAAATAAACAATTTAGGGGATTTTTTAATAATCTCTACATTGTTGCTGTACCACTTTAGTAAGAAACAGGAAAAAGGGGATTTAAGTACTTGTCATTACATGCTTCTGGAGTTAGCTGCAAGAAGGCTAGAGAAAAAACTTGTCTTTATTTTCTTCTACCACAAACTATAACACACTTTTTCAGTTGAAGACAACCTTACCTTGAACTCTGGGCAAAATCTCAAGTTACATTAATTTGCTAAATCCAGTAGACCTTACTTAGAGCTTGCAAAATCAAACATTTTTTTCATGTAGGTCCCAACCTTTAAAACTCTTATAAGGAAGGATCCTCTTCTCCTTTGTCTTCCCCTTCAAGGAGCAATGAATGTGCTTCCAGGTAAAAATAATTTTGTTTTACAAGATGACACTTTTTGAGTCTATGTTATTTCTAATTATGTCTTAAAACTTGAAAAGATTGATTTTGTCCTTATATAGGGTACATTTATAAATTGTTATTTATTTTAAACTCTTTTTCATGCCTGATATCATTACTAGAATCCTTAGGTAAAAGTACACATTTCTTAAATGGTTTTTCAAATTCTAAGGGATTTTTTGTATTTTTTCATGTATTCAAACAGGAGAGAAAATAAAATAACTTGAGAAGTTTACTGTAAAGTCTTCCGAATTCATAGCAAGAAATTTTCAAAGTACTTAAAAAGATGCAAAGAACAAATATGAAAATGTTCTAGATTGCCAAATCACACACACAAGTTTCAGATGCACATCTGTTCACTAAAAGTAAAACCATTTATAAGTAAAGATAGGAATTTAAGCACACAAGGAAACCAACTGAATAACCTACCTAAATGTGAAGCCAGAACCTGGAAGGTGCTCTTATTCAAATGCTTCTCTAAATGTAATAGTGCTTTTCTATTTAAGATTTAAAATATCTGGGGTTTTCTCATAAATCTAAATAGATAATAACACAGTAGTAATAGATGTTAACCTTCAAAAGTACTTAAAAAGACTATTACAGGATACAACTTTGAAATGACCAACACATTAAGGTAAACGACAAAAAGAAGAAAAATGTTTTTCCATGATCCTATAACTCTGGGGTCTTTTGTCTTTCTTTCTTTTTCTTTCTTTCTTTCTTTCTTTCTTTCTTTCTTTCTTTCTTTCTTTCTTTCTTTCTTTCTTTCTTTCTTTCTAGTTGCTTCCATGTGAGAATATATAAAATCCCTTCTCAAGGGTATATGACTTGCTAGTTTAAAGAATCCTAAGTAAGTAACTCTAGGTCAGGAAAGACTATTATCTACTTTATGACAGCAGTTGATAGCATTCCTCAAGCAAGAAATATAAACCATACAGTAATGCTTACCCATCTTTCAGCGCTGTGGCTTAGAAGTTTCTCAAGATATTGATATTATCTTTTTTTAAACAGTTTCTATTTCATTACCATGTTTAATTGCTTTTTTTAATCTATTTATACATTGATATTAACTACTTCTTTCAGCTAAAAGTCCCTTCCACAATCTGACTGCAGTGTGGAACAAGCATTTGTTTTTATTTTAAAGCTCTACATAGTGTTTTCTTTGCTTTAGTTTTAGTGCTTTCATTATCACAAATATTACATAATTACTCCGTTTCTGCACACCTCGTGTGTAGTTGTTTTCCCATCACTGGTTCTTAAAAGTTGAGGTCTATCTTTATTTACTCAGGAAAAATGCAACTGTTTCCTTTGTAACTTTTTTGAGTGATGGGATCCAAGTTCTCACTCAGCAGTCAAGACACAGCATAGATTTATGCAGTTTTATAATGATGCATAGTGTTTAATCCTCTATTCTTTTTGAAGAATAATTCCTTCATTTTGTCTATTTTTGGGATTAATGCTGTTCAGAATGATCCTCACATCCTTCTCCTATTTAAATTGGGTAGCTTAAAGCATATCACCCAGTGCATATGTTTAGGACTATCATTTTGTCTATTTTTGGGATTAATGCTGTTCAGAATGATCCTCACATCCTCACATCCTTTTTTCATCATGTGTGTAACCTTGAAGTTATCATTCCTGAATATCATCTACCACTTTATCACTTAATCTCTTGGTACCATGATAGTCTCTGTAGCTCTTTAGAGCCAGCTGGTTTTATTGTCCTCAGGAATTTTGAATCACCAGGAAACTTTGTCATCTTACTAATTACCCCCTTCTATTATTTTTCAATATGATGAACAACAAAGGTTCAGGCAAAAATCCCTATGAGATGTGTCTGAAAAGTGATCGTTTATTTACTACTTTCTTCCTAAGTGCTTTATCATTTAACCCACAAGTTCTTAAGAACCCTTAATGTGTGATGTTGTCCAGTTTTCCACTGTTAACGTATGAAGCACTTTTAGATACCGCTAAAAAATTTTATTGTGTTAAAACTGACTCATGATAGTACTATATGATAGTGGGGAATTTCTAGTGGGGAATTTCTAATGTTTCTGCCTTCCTAAAATATAGATATGTCTAAAAAATCAAAGTAAGTACACAATATTTTTCTTTGCCTATTTTGTTTGACGAAATGCTGCAATCCTGAGTGTCTGTCTCCTTGAGAATGTTTTAGTCGAAGGACATATTCTCTTCTTTATAGGGTAAAAGTTGAATTCTCAATATTTTTGTTGTTGTTTGCTTATGTTTGTTGTGTTGTTCATTCTTTTTCTGTTCTTTAAAATTTTCTGTGATCTGGAATTGACCCATTTACAGAAACAAAAATTCCTGTTTAAAGTGCAGAATCCAGAAGGATGAAGGAATTATTTTTCTGAATGTAGGCATTTTCATACCAATACTACTGGCAGAAGTCACACAAGATTGCTTCTACTTTCCCTTGAATATTCAAAAATAACAAAACATGGTCCTTGTTACAAAGCAATCACTGCTCATCCTCTATACAGGACATGTGGTCTTATTCCTACACATTGTATTTTGTACATTACTTATTGCTTACCCTGTGTTTATCTGCATTCTAATTTGTGTTTAATAAGAAAGATTCTTCCATTTCCCCAAAAAGCATTTAATTGAAGTGAAGGTGACCAGCAGGTGGTTTGCATAAAATTTCATTAGCCTCTTAGATTGTTTTTGACACCTTTATGAAAGAATGCTTCATTACCATGCAAATGGTCGTTGGCCCAGCTTCTAAGCTAATCACCATATAGCATAACATGCATATCACAATGTTATATTCTGCATGATTTATGTGATTGCTTCAGCTAATTTCAGAGTTATAATGGCATGCTTAAATAACTCTAGAATGGCAAGCATCTCATATAAGTCATATCCATTTATGCCATTAAGTGTCCAGTACAATCCAGATAAGAGAAGAAGCAAAGAAAATATATTTTTTTTATACTCTTATCCTTCCTAATAAAGAAAATTATTATTTCTTTCCAGCATTGAGATGACATGGAAACTCAATACAAGAACAAGTATATATTTTCATTTCTTGGGTTATTTCTCATGAATATAAATAAATGAAAGTCTATTTTGCACACAAGTTTGTAGTCCAATAATTTATACAATTTTCCAGAATAAAAATTTTGAAAATATTTGAAAATAACTTTTTAAAATTACACTTTTTTTTGTTTTGTAGTTATTTTCATATTGCTGACTTCTATAAATATGAGATTTTAGACCTCGTTTTTGCTATAATTTCTAGATTGTACATTAGCAATAGAAAATTTCAAGTCAATATCCACACTGATTAATTTTTTTCACTGCATACACAGTTTACGTCTTCTCATGTAATATTCTAGTTTTTCTGAATGCTGCTCTGAAGATAGCCTTTGAACATGGATTCAGTTAATTTCAAGTAATACAAGCTAAGTATACAAGAAAATGCTGCAAAAATAGTGTGATTTTTACTGAAAACTTTCCTCTTGGTAGAACTCATTTAGAGAAATTATTGGAAGGTAGAGACTGGCAGGTTTGGGTTGTTTTTTTTTTAATAATTGGTATCTGCTTACAGCAAAGCATAGGAATGTGCATGTTTTTGTGAGTTTTTCTTCTTGTAAGTAATTAAAATGGAGCTTGGACCTGCAGGTCTCCCATATCAAGGCCATTGAATATTTCAATCCCACTTAGAAAGTACTGAAGCATTAATGACTGGAAACTGACACTGAAGTTGCATGTAGGGAATAAAAGCCTAATGATATCACAATTGTTATCCTTTTCCTTTCCTTTCCAGCTTTATAAGTGCACATTTACTCAAACACATTTACCATTTTTTTGGTAGATTCACAACTATGCATATCCTGGCCCTGTCTTAGGGGCCCAGTAGGGTTTGAAGTGAGAGTAGCAGACTATCAGCATAAAACAAATTGTAAAGTTTCAGTGTTAGCAAGCCTTTAAGTGATATTAAATTAGCTAGTTTAAAATATTACTGTCATAACAATGCTTGCTGTAACTACTCCCACTATAAACAATTTCTGACTTTAACAAGCAGTGTCACTTTTTCTGAAATTCATATATTGTTATGATAAGAAATTAAATTATCTGACTTATTTTGACATATTAATTACTCAGTTGCTGGTATAATTCTTGCTGTAGATTGTGGAAAAGAAGTCTCATACCCAAGATTTAGGCTTCTGAATTTTTTGACAGCTTAAAAAAATACACCATATCTGAAGACTTTTTAAAATTAAGTTTAAATATTTATGTCTTTCAGTTGTTTACTTACTGTAATAGTGAAGACTAGTTAGATGGTATGGAATAAGTGCAATTAATATAAATCTCAGTAATAAATATGTGATCTGATTTATATGAACTTCATTTTTCTTACTTCATTATTTACAAACAGACACTTTTTATAAATAGACACTTTCTATTTTTTTTTTACATATTTTTTCATGAAGAATCACAGCATTGGAATACGGCTAAAAAAGGATGGCAGTTTCAAAATTCCAGCTACTGACCTTCTTCTATTTTATTTAAAATATAATACAATTTAAAGTGTTTCTGCTGACCCGATGAGTGATACAGAATATGAAGAATTAAGGGATTTTTTTTCTCATACGTCATTTCAACTTTCTGTACTTCATAGCCAAATCTATAAATTTCATGAAAATATAACTGTGCACTATCAGACTTTGAATGTCTGTTTCTCATTTGGACATTTTCACCTTCTGAATAGTACTAAAATATGCTGGAGTTCTATGTGAGTTTTAGTGAAAGGTATTGACATATTTTAAATACTCTGGTATTCTACTGTTGATTTGTATTATGCGTGATAATATAATATGACAAACTATATGACAGACCATGTTAAACGCATAGTATAATTTGTAAAATTAGGTTGTACAATGGATGGAAAAAGACCCCTCATGTGAAATAGTGGATTTTATCACAAACTAACTGCA